CTATGTAATCTTTCTAATGCCACATTCCTATCTTTACTTATCCTCTATGAAATAAAAAATAAATTTATTTAATTAGACTATGATTTAATAAAATTTATTTTGTAAAATATTTATTTACCTTTATATAATTTAGCTAAACATTGTTTTATTATAAAGTAAATATTAAATTATGATGTAAAATCCTTTTACTATTACTATATATTTTTAAAATAGTGCATGAAAAAATACCTTCATTCATTTTTTTTATTGGGAATTTTTTGTTGAAAATTTCATTAGGATTATCCTTTTGCTTTTTGTGTTACGCGAGAACTTGTGTATGTATTAGTACAATAGAAATATCCGGATACAATAATAATATAATAATACTTCGTCATAAACAATTGCCCAAGCAATTTATTTTGTCATGGATTTAAGTAAGTTGATTAGCTTTTGATGCATGTAGTCTTAATTTCATGAATTATATAAAATATAAAATTTATTTTGAAATTAATTTATTAATAGAAAAGCTTATATTTTAGCATGATTATGATAGTCGTGTGACATATCCCTGTAAAAAATTGTATTATTGATATACCAAATTTATCAATGTAAATTAATTGTCAATGCAATGTTGAAGAGCCAAAGCATTGGGAAAATATTAAAATCAAGTGTGGCTAAAAAAAAATAAACTATATAAATATAATTTTGGAGATGGAAAACACTTTAAATGAAAATAAGCATCATAATGATACTTCTACAAAAATGATGATGATGAATATTCAAAGGAAAGGTACAATGCTTCATATTCATGGTGTCAATCATGTGATTAGCACTAATGGCAATGAAACATTAGATGAATTGATTAAAAATACAATTATATGTTCTAATAAATATTATCTTGAATGGATTCCTTATAATTATTTAACAAATATTGAAAGATAGGTGAAGGTGTATACCAAGATACTTGTTTAAATGGTTATAAAGGTGTAGTTCATAGAAAAAGAATAAGTAAAGATAGGAATGTGGCATTAAAAAGATTACATAGTTCACAAATATTCCTGATGAATTTCTTAATGAGCTAAATTATTTTGTTGTATTTTTTATTACTCCTCCTTCCCCCCAAATAAAATTCCCTTACCTGGCTGATTGATTAATTTGTTAATTAAAAAAATTTATTCATTTGTTCAAAAAGTGACATTATTACAAGGAAAATTATAACTTTGTCTAGGACAGGACAATCAATGTCCATCCATGCCTGTGTCTGCTAACAACACTGGTTATATAAATAATAATAATATAAATACAAATAAGAATTTAATAATTAAGTAATCTACATAATATCACAGTACATATATATTTACAATTAGATTGATAATATTTTAGTGTGCATAGTTTTCAGGGTTCTATTTACTCTAAAGATCCAAGATTTTATCAAATTTTATTTGCAGTGAATCAGTGCCAGTAGATTCTGTCGTAATAATACTGGGATGACTGAAAGAATTACTGTCTTCATTTTTTTGTTGCATGTAATTTTCCTCTTTATCAACTATATTTGAGCCTGAAATCATTAGTTGAAAATTTTTTTTAATCCACAACCAAAAATATATTGTAATTTACCTCATTAGTAATTTCTTTCATATTTGTCATACCATGTTTATAAGACTTCAAGGCGCAAATACTGCTATTATCTAATGTTGCTTTATAAACTTCTCCAGAACCACCTGAACCAGTTTTTAGAATATTTTTAAATCTACTACTATATTCATAAAAATTAATGTGTTCCTTCTGAATTGTTTCATCAAGCCATCCTAACCAATTATCTTTAGATTTATCAATAATGGCTCTGTTTTCATTGGTTATTCCATTGTTTGGTTCATTATTTGTTTCTTTGTTATCTTGACTAATTGGAGCAGATGGTGGTGATTTGGATAACTGTGGTGAAGGAGTTTCACTTTTATCCTCGTGAAGTTTTATACCATCTTCTAATGTCATTATATCAAATGAAAGATTGTGCAGCGAGTGACTTCTGTATAAAATAAATAATTTATTAAGAAAAGTAGGCATATTTGGACGTGATGAAGGTTCTTGATTCCAAGCTATTCAAAAGAAAAATTATATTAAATATATATCAATTATGTGTGAAATTAGAATCTGCATATTTGAATTTGTCACAGCAGTAAAAAAGTTGAATTTTAGAGAAAAAATATGGCACTATTGGACTACAATGATGAAGGTGACATTTATAAATATTCATTCATTTACCTTTTATTATTATGTTTTTGAAACATATCTGAATATCAGATGTACAACATAAAGAAACATTACAAATGGTACATCAAATAAAATAACGATTTCAGTTTTCACTGATTTTTCTTCAATCTGCTGTCTTTCATACTTACATAATACACACGCAGCTCTTTTATCTTTATGTTCTGGGAGGTGTTTTCCAGTTGCAAGCCTTTCCGATGGTAGAGTTGATTTGGATTAGAGGTTGGAACCGGTTTGGGTACAATCGACTTAAAACCGGTTGCAACCGGTTGCAACGTAAAACTGATTCCTATTTTTCATATTCGATAAACCGAATATAATAAAACCGATTTATTTCGGGCAACCGAATTTAATAAAACTGGTTGAACCGGTTTTATTATTAAACTTTATGTAAAGAGACTGTGCTAAATATAAAGCATTTATCAATTCTCCGTCACCATTTTCAAACAAAAACAATAACTAAAGTGTATGTATATCAAGGTTGGGTGACAAAAATATTTTGGAGTGTAAAAAGTATTTCATCAAATGGGGCACATATGACGAAAAGTGATGAAAGTGACAAAACGTGACAAAACGTGACGAAAGTGACAAAGGGTAAGTCGAAAGTCAAATTATGATAAAGATGACAAAATATAAATTCAATTTTATTTATATGCATCCCGACATTGCATTCACTTGTATGACGTCATTCGATTGCGGGTTGATGAAGAGTCATTTTCAGCCTCATTCGAGTGAGGTGTATTTTGCGTTTTTGGCCGCATTTATGTTATCATTTAGGTATTAAATCTGATGTTAAATCTGATGTTTAATCGGACGGTAAAAAATATGTATTCATACCCCGCATTCAGGTTCCAAGATGTAACAAACGTGACTATCATGAACCATGGTTTGCGATCAACTTTATGTAGCACTTTAGAAAAAGCAATCTCGAAGACGGGATATGACTCGATTTCGTCGTCATAAAATAGACTATTTTGTGGTCAATGATGCATTGATCGTATTCTACATTTTCAGACTCCGCCATGTAGCATTCGTGTCTATCGTCAACTAGTGTTGGTTTCCAAAACTCGAGAGTTTCGCAACCGTGCGAAAGTCAAAAGGTTTCTCCATAAGTCGAAACTAGTTTTGATTTTTGACTATTGACTTTTGATTTAGTTTTGACATATAACTTTTAATTTTAGTTTTGACTTTCACCTCTTTAAAATAGTTTTGGCGACCAACACTATC